TGGTTTTAGTCCTCAGGAAGAAGTCTTAGAGAAACCCACTGATATCTCTAAGAAGCACCAATGATTTCAGGATGGTCTCTGAGAAAATATCTCAGATCTATTAATGGGATTAGCAAGGTTTAGAAATGAAGCTGTTCTCTGCAGGTATACTGTAGAATGAATTTATCTTAAAATTGCTGCTACATTAGATAACCAACTAGGCAAGTATTTTCTCTTTAGAAGAGTATTCCAGCTAATAAAAAAAAAAAAAAATTGGAATCAAAGTATTCTACTTTTTTGCCTCCTAATGAATCAACAGCTAAGTTGCTCACAAAACAATCAATCTGCTCCAAAACAAATTGATGCCTTAATGGCTAAGGTTGATGTTGGGACTAATCGGTGTGCTCACACCACTGTCTACTTTTAAGTGTGACTGAAAATGCGTCATAAGAAATATGTTGAAAAAATTTTTTTGCGGGGGAAAGGGTGTTTGTCTTTTTGATAGAGGCTCTTGCTACACAGCTCAGGCTGGCCTTAAGCTCACTTTGTAGACCAGGCTGGTCTCATAAAACTTATAACTCATAAAGATTCTCTTGCCTCAGCCTCCCACTGTTGAGATTACATGTGTCACCATGCCTGGCTGAGTAAAAGCTGAAAGAAGTAGTGAGTGCAACACTGATCACCAGAGACAAAATACTCACGCTTTGCTATGCTAAGAAGAAATCTAAGATTCATGGGCACAATGATCACACCTGAAGCAGGAGTCCAGTCTGCTTCTACACAAACAGAGACGGGTTTAGGAAAATGTATGCCTAACAGCAGAGGGAAGCTCTTGCTTCTGAGGAACACAAGCCAGGGCCCAGCTGGGCGTCTGGCACGTACATGTCAGGGCAGGACCCATGCTGAGTCACTCCATACCACGGCATGAAGCATCCCAGAGATTTACTTTATCTTCGCTCATTTTTAATCACTTCCAGTAAAAAAAAAAAATTGACTCTTCTTTGTTTTTGCTTTGGGCTCCACCCCAAATTTCCTTCCTACTGACCCCGTGACTCACACGGGGTGAAATCTCACCCTCTAGTCAAAGCCCTGCTTACATCTCAAAAATTATGTTTTTTGCAAACTTCCTCACGATACCTCTCCCAACTTTATCATGGCTGCCACCTGACAGCCACCCTCCTACAGGTCAAGTAATACTGCAAGGTCCCTCACTGTCAACCCTGGCTTCACACCACAGAGTGGCAAACATTCCTTAATGTCACAAGTAAGTTGGAGCCATTACAAGTGTAGATGGGTTTAGGCACCTCCAACCCTTGCCATGACAGGCCATACATTTGGCCTGTGACACAATGACACACAGTGACACACAGTGCTGGCTGAGATGACACCAACCTTATGTGTCTCCCAGTGGCATTTAACGTATGTCTTCATATCTTATAATTTAGAATCTAATTTCTTTAGTTTTGAATAAAGTAACTTACACTGCTTTCCAATCTTCAGCTGGCCTACTAAAGGACATCCCCACTGCTTCAGCAAAGGAGGCATGTGTTCCTAGACTGAGCAGAAAACCCAGGCAGGATGAGATCTTCTCTCAAGGAGTGGCAGGGGCTGGAGTTCCTATTACCTGGCAGCAGCTTCTCAACATCATGAGGCTGGGCTATCTCTCAGGTTACAAAGCTGCCAGGTTAGGTATTACTGCGTGACTTAAGGCTAGGATTTGTCTCCTGTCACAGTATTTCAATACTTAACAATTCAATGCACTGTGTCAGAACAAGCCAGCATTAACGCAAAACAACCCGCATCCATCTGTGTCCCCAAATGGTGCACACGAACACACAGATGGTAAGGACATCTCACCTTGCTTTATGAGCAAGTAGGTGCTGAAACAAGAACTCTCTGAGATGGGGTAAGGATTTCTTTGGAGAAGCTGCCACCTGCCCTAATGCGCTCAGTCACCTCGATATTTCTTCAAAATTCTTTGTAGTTTTGCCTTTTTATTTTAAAATGAGACAAATCCCAGGACAAATGGTTTCTTCAAGTAAGACAAAGAATGAAAAAGAGGGAGAGATATCCATGTCACATGAAAAGCTCACCTGAGTATAGCATATTAACATACAATACATAGATTACAAGGGATCCTGACTTGGCTGAACTGTTAAGAATTATGAGATCAGAAGGAAAACATGAAGAGT